TTCACCTTTTTGCATAAAGTTATTTATTTTTCTTTTGTTTTTTTTTGTGTGTGTGGGGGTAGCAATTATAAGATAGGATTGTTTTCCTGATTTCTATTTAAAATAATTTCTATTGGCACATAATAGTGCTGCTGACTTTTGTGCATCCTATAATTTTGCTGAATTTATTTATTTTTATAGTTTTTTGAGTTTTCTGTATAAAAGATCATGTCATTTACAAATAGTGGCAGTTCAGCTTCTTTTCTAATTTGAATGGCCTTTATTTCTTTTTCTTGCCTGATTTCTCTGGCTAGGTCTTCTAGTGCTCTGTTGAATAAAAGTGGTGAAAGTGGCCATTCTTGTTTTGTTTATGATCTTAGAAAGCACTCAGCTTTTCCCCCATTCAGTATAATGTTAGTTGTTCTTTTATTGTAAATGGCCTTTATTACATTGAAATACTGAAATTCAAGCCATCAGGATTAATCTTCCAGTATTGATGAATTTGTGTATACTTTATTAAAATTAAATTATTGGCATGTTTAATTTAATTAACAAAACTTTATTTAAATAACTTTGTATGTATTAACTATGTATACTAAGTTTAGCTATGATCTGAAAAACTTTATTTTTAAGCTTTATATGTCCTTTGACTTCTAAGTGCTTTATAATTTGATTAGGGCAATGAAATAAACAGTCGTATTTTGTCATTCTCAAGAATATCTTGTGTTATACCCTATTTTAGTGATCGTGGTGGAGAAGACCCAAACCAGAAAGTAATCCATGGGGTTATTAACTCCTTTGTTCATGTTGAACAGTATAAGAAAAAATTTCCCTTAAAGGTAAAAAACCTCCTTTAAAAATATAATCAGATCTTTAATTTCTTGAATTATTTGTTGCAGTTTTTTCCTAATATGATTTTAATTATTTTATTCAGTTTTATCAGGAAATCTTTGAGTCTCCCTTTCTGACTGAAACAGGAGAGTATTACAAACAAGAAGCTTCAAATTTATTACAAGAATCAAATTGCTCACAGTATATGGAAAAGGTAAGAAATAACACATACCATAATTACATACCTTTACTTATTATATATCTGGCATGGTTTTATTTAACATAATTTTTTAGTTAAAATATTCTTTGGTGAAAAAAGATTCTGTTTATTTCATCATTAACTCTTAAGTTATGATAACATACATTTATTAGTAAGCCATTGCTCTTACTATAGCTGTTATACTTTTCATCATGCTTAATAAATCCTGATTGCTTTTGATAAATTCTGATTGCTTATCATTAAGCATAATTTTGCTTATCCGTTAAATTAATACATATATCCATTTGGGGTATATAATAGGTTTGTGTGCTTAGTGATTTGTTTAAGAAATAGGATAAGTACAGAAATTAGGTGTTTGGACTCTTACTATTATTTTTAAATGGAAGGAAAATAAGATAATTCTAGATAGTTGTATAAGTTACTCTTTTAGTCTGTTAAGTTCTTGGAAGGCTGATTATAAGCAGAAAACTTACAGAAAAATTTTAACTAATCATTAACCAGGGGCTGGGGTTGTGGCTCAGTGTTAAGAGTGCTCACCTAGCATGTGCAAGACACTGGGTTCGATCCTCAGCATTACATAAAAATAAATAAATAAAATAAAAGTATAAAAAAAAAAATCAATAAAACAGCACATTATCATGTTTAAAATTTCACACTTATTTTTGAGTAGTAAAAAGTCACATCATAAATTTAATCATCATAGAAGATACATTGAAATTTTTAATCAAGGTTTTTATCTGAAGTATTGGATTCAAATATTTTATTATTGGATGCCTTTTGTTAGTTGGTTTAACCAAGAAGATAAAATATCTTCCACTACAGTGGAATACCTATAGTCTATTCTCCATAGAACACACGTCAGGAATCATCAGTGCTTCTGATATAATGTTACCCAGTCCACAAAGCCCAGAACTAGAAGTCTGAGTTAATTAATTCTCTTACTACTTTTATCACTAAATAATGCTAGATCTTGAGTGAACAATCTAAGACTTTCCCCCCATCCATTAAGTACAGGTTAGTCTAGGTAAGTGGTTCTTAGCTCTTAGCTTTTATTGCATCTTAAACTTTTTTTTAAGTGTCTAGATGTAAGTCAAAGAAATTGTACAAACAGTAACCATGATGCATACAAACCTTGTTATATCTGACTCTCAAGAAGAGGCCATGGCAAATGATGGAAATACTTCAGATGTCTATCAAGAGTTGAAAGAATAAGCAGTTGCTAGGGGTCTAGCTTGGTTGGTAGAGGACTTGCTTAGTACCTGAGAAGCCATGTGTCAATGCCCAGCATCACAAAACAAAACAAATAGCAGATGTGGTATATACACGACAATGGAATAGTATTTGGTCTTAAAAAGGAATAAAGTACTGATACAATGTGGATGAACTTTGAAAATGTTAAGTAAGCCAGACACACACAAAAATAAATATTGTATAGTTTCACTTATATGAAGAATTAGGCAAATTCATAGAGAAAAAATGCCGATTAGACATTATGTGTGGAAGATGGTGTGGGATGTTATTGCTTAATGGTTATAGAATTTCTATTTGGGTTAAGGAAAAACTTTTTAAAAATAAGATAGCTATGTAACATCAGAAATGTAATTAATGCCACATGAATTAGATGTTCATGAAAATGATTAAAGTAGCAAATATGAAAATATATTTTAAGATGATTTTAAAACATTTTGTATTAATATTATATTAATATACCAACTATGTATTTTAAATTGTGAAATTATATTTGAAAGTGCTAAAAAAATTGTAGGGAATTGAAAATAAATTATGTTCAGAAAATGGTGTTAAGTAGTTTACTACAGGAAATGGTGGTAAACCATATTTACTTCAAGGGCCAAAGTCCTAGATTTTGATCACAATATATTATGTTAATTAACAGACTCTTTAGGATAGCCTTGCCCTTTTTCTCTGCCCTAGTTTTGGCTTTTCCCCATCTACCAATGTTATTGTAGGTATTTGAAGACCTGTATTGAGGCAATCCAACCTAATGTATGTTTACTTTGATATGTACCTCCTTTCCCCAGGTCACTATTGTTTTACTTTTCCCCTTCTTTTATCCTCCTGCAACCACACTCTAATTCCTGTTGCATTTAGTAATCTAGTAAGCTGTTTAAAGTCATATAATACGATATAAATCACTATTAGGCTTAATTTTTAAGGGACATTTTTTATTATATTTTGATCAAAAGCTTGTTAACCAAAATGACTTTCTCAATTAATGAAATTATGCGATGAATACCTTTTTAATCTAGGTAGCCTCTTGCCTACCCTAAATTTCTATGACTGTCCTGAACTTTGACTTAATGAGTTAGCATAATAGAAGAGATAGGAGTATGGGACTCTCCACAGTTTTGAGCCTCATTTTCCTTGAAAGATATCTAATTAGGTATCCAGGAATGATTTTTCCTTCCCACCATTACCAGGCAGCCCTAACTTCCAAACAGTCAAGTGTACATAATTCCATGGGACCAGTTAGGTTCAGAGTTTTTAGTCACATAGCTTCACATCACAGAATGTCTTCTGAGTCTACAAATTTGTATATATATGTGCCATGCTAACATAATTTTCATCACAACAGTATTGGTTGTTTTGTGTTGAAAATTAGTCAAATTCTCTGGTTCTTATTAATGTTGACTAGAGTGTTGTTTTGTACCTCGATGCTCTTTTTTTCTTTAATTTTTTTGTGTAGGGCTGGGGGAATGGGGTATGGGGAATGGGGATTGAACCCAGGAGCACTTAACTACTGAGACACACTCCCATTCTTCCCTTGCCTCGCTTTTTTTTTTTTTTGAGACAAGATTTCACTAAGTTGCTGAAGCTGGCTTTGAATTGTGATCCTCCTGCCTCAGCCTTCTGGGATCATAGGCATGCATCACCAAACTTGGCTCAATGCTTTTTATATACGATATAAGCTTTTGTAAAGTTTTTTTTTTTTTGTGTGTGTGTGTGTGTGTGTGCTGGGAATTGAACCTAGGGCTTTTTGCATGCTAAATAAGCAGTCTACCACTGAGCAGTATCTCCAATCCTAAAATGTCTTATTTGACTTTGACTCTGATTAAGTATATTTTGACTTTTAAAATTTTTAATGAAATATTTATCATAATTAATGATCATGTACATACTGTGTTTGTTTCCATTTTGTGAGAGCAGAGACCAAAGTAAAATAATTAATGTAATCTACTTGATGTAACTAATTTTTTAGTTTGGTAGTTAATTATTCATATAGAAACCACATGTTCTGGTATTTATTGTTACCAACTTATCCTGTTGCATGCTAAGTTTTCCATATAATATGAAGATTAGGGTTAATAAATAAAGATAACAAGCAGACTTTATTCTTGTTTATAAGATTGTGATGGAATATAGGTGAACACTGGTAGCTTAAATAAGACTTTGTAAATGATTTATGGATTGTGGGTTTAAATTAGTCATGTAAACCTCATTATCTTTTCTTTGTTTAGTAGAGCCATTAAAATTTTAGCTGCCTGAGTTACTTACTGATGTTATAATCTTTTCTGTACAGGAAAACTTTGTAGCTTATTATTTTAAGAATATATTTTTATAGGTTCTAGGTAGATTAAAAGATGAAGAAATGCGATGTCGAAAATATTTACATCCAAGCTCGTATACTAAAGTGATTCATGAATGTCAGCAACGAATGGTAGCAGACCACTTACAGTTCTTACATGCAGAATGTCATAATATTATTCGACAAGAGAAAAAAAATGGTAAGTGCTAACACACATAAGTGTGAGTAGAAATTCAAGTATATCTCATCTTCCACCCACCTTAAATTTAAAAGCATATTTTTTGATATCTTTAAAATATTTTATATATATTTTTATAGATTATTACTGTATTTTGAAAGACTTTTGGAAAGTTCATATTCAAAGTATATTCTTAAGTCAAAAAAGAAAAACTGGAAAAATGTGTTTATGTAGTTTAATTTTTGGAAAGTTTATATTCAAAGTATATTCTAAAGTCAAAAGAAAAACTGGAAAAATGTGTTTATGTAGTTTATATATCAAAGAAGCTACTTTCTTTAATATGTTAGTTCCTAACAGACAGTAGGAATAAAGGCAAAGGAAATATGAATATATTTTAAATATGTGAAGATGTGCATACTCAATTCAAAATCGGGGAAATATAAAATAAAAATACACTGTGATACCACCAAATAAATGGTAATTATAACCAAAAAAAAATTAAATGATTCAGAAGAAGGGAAAATAGAATTAAGAGTTATTGAATAAGCCAAGCGTGATGGCGCATGCCTATAATCCTTGTGGCTCAGGAGGCTGAGGTAGGAGGCACTCAGGTTCAAAGCCAACCTCAACAATTTCATGAGGCTGTAAGCAACCTAGTGAGACCCCATCTCAAAATAAATACATGAAATAAAAGGGCTGTGGATGTGGCTCAGTGGTTGAACACCCTTGGGTTTAATCCCTGATACCACAAAAATAAGATTATTAAACAGCAGTTAATAAACATAAGACATGTATGCCACACCTATGTAGAAAACTAAACATTGATGAAAGCAACATTGATTTATAAACCCAGGGCAATCTAATATAACCCGCCCCCACACACTGCCTTGCCACTTTTTGTTAAATACTGAAAATTGTCCTCTTGGCCTAAGAACAGCCAACATGATCTTAAAAGAGCATTTTAGAAAGACTTTTAGAGGATAGCAAGACATATAAAACCAAAGTTATGCAATGAGGCATTGATATAAGGATAGGCAGATAGTCCACTGAAGTGAAACAGCCTATGCATATGTAAGCACTTGATAAAGTCCCTTAGTTCAGAGGTAAAGTGCCCCTGGGTTAAATTCTCAGTAAAGTAGGGGGAGAAAGAGGTACTACAAGGTAGTACCACAGAGCAGTGAATGAAAGGTAGTCTTTTTCTATACATAATGCTGAGAAAAAGAAATTTGATCTCTACCTCAGATCCCTTATACAAAATCAATTCACAGGTGTTTTTTTAACTACATGTGAAAAGTAAAACAATAATACTTCTTGAAGATAATATAGGCGAATTATCTTTATAACCTTGTGGTAATGAATAAAATTTCAAATGGGACACAAAAAACAGTAACAATCAAAGAAAGAAGGATCCAGTAGACTACATTAAAATGAAAAATTTTGGAACATTGAAAGTCCTTTAAGACAAAGGGAGCATCAAAAGACAGTCATAGGTTAATATATTATAGTGAATGGAAAAGATTTATATCCAGAATATAAAATAGTCAAGAAACTTCAATAAGCATTGCAGAATAGAAGCTATGCAAATGGCCTTACATGTACACTTAAAAAGGTATTTCAGTCTCATTAAATTAGGGGAATGTCAATTAAACACACAAAACCACAGTAAGATATGAATATTTCCTTATATATATTTTGGGGGTTGGGGTGGGGTACCGGGGATGAACTCAGGGGCACTTGACCACTGAGCCACATCCTCAACCCTATTTTGTATTTTATTTAGAGACAGGGTCTCATTGAGTGCTTAGTGCCTCCCCTTGCTATTGCTGAGGCTGGCTTTGAACTTGTGATTCTCCTGTTTCAGCCTCCCGAGCCACTAGGATTATAGGCATGCGCCACCACACCCAGCTTCCTTATATTTTGATATACCATTTTAAAGACTGAAAAGAAGATGTATTTGGAAGTGTGTAGAGTACCAGGATTTTGTTGTATGCTGGGATGAGAGAATAAATTGATACAAACACTTTGAAAAACTGACACTGACCACTAAAGCACAATCTGTGCATATTTTATTATCCAGCAGATCTTCTAGGCATATAACTCCCACCCCAGGCATGTAGGTATGTACTAAAAGATATGTATAAGAATGTTCATAGCAACGTTATTTGTGATATCTCTAAACTGGAAGCAACTCAAATGTCCAGTAACAGTGGAGTGGATAAATACAATATATTTGTACAATGGAATATTACAGAAAAGTAGAAATGAACAGATTAAAACTAAGTAGAACCTTATGATCCTTATAAATACTATTTTGAAAAAAGATGCTAGTCATAAGAGAACTGCATGATTCCATTTTTATTGATAGCTCAAAGATTAATCTGATTTAGTAGTCAAAGCAGTGGTTACCTTGGCAGAGGAACAAGAGTAGCGACTGAGGATGCATGAAGGGAACTTCTGGGTATTGGTTAAGTTTGTTTCTTTTCTTTTTTGGATACTGGGGATTGAACTCAGGGCAATTGACCACTGAGCCACATCCCCAGCCCTATTTTTTAATTTTATTTAAAGACAGGTTCTCACTGAGTTGCTTAACGCCTCGCCTTTGCTGAGGCTGGCTTTGAATTTTCGATCCTCCTATCTCAGCCTCCTGAGCTGCTGGGATTACAGGTGTGCACCACCATGCCCCGATTAAGTCTGTTTCTTAACCCTAAGTGTGATTATATGGGTGTGTTTTGTGTTCACTTGTGATAATTCACTGAATTGTACTCATGATTGGCATACTTTTCTGTTTCTGTATATTCTTGAACAAAAAGTTTAAAATAAAACTCACTGCACTAAGACATCATATTTCACCTCTCATTGTCAGAGATCAAAGTGTTTGATGACACTTTCTTGGCAAGGGACTTTCCTGTTATTGGGATCTCTATTTTGAAGGAACTGCCTATAAGATTGACTCGGCAATCCCATTTTTCAAGATCTATGCTACATATATTCTTGCCCATATATAAGATTATTAATCGCAACATTATATAATATCATCAGATTTGAAACAACCTTAGTTTCCATTAGGTTTTAAGTAAATGTAATATGCCTATATGGTGAAGTACTCTGCAATTGTAAAATATCTAGAAATGCTTTATATACTAATATAAAATACCTCTAAGTTAAAATGTGTTTTGCAGCTACAGAAATACACTGCACTATTTATATAAAAAGGATCAGGGTAAAGAATATATATTTTTATGAATATATAGAATATGTATATGTATATTTTCTTGAATGTATATTTAGAAGGATAAACTACTGTAACTACTGTAACATTGCTCTCCTGTAAGGAGGGAGACGGGGTGGCTGGGAGATAAGGCAAGGGGGATGTAACCTATATACTCTTGTATTTTGGCATTTTGAGCTATGTATTATCTACTAATTTAAAAATATCTGGGAATTTAATAATGAAATTTCTTTTCCCCCTCAGACATGGCAAATATGTATGTCTTACTCCGTGCTGTGTCTACTGGTTTACCTCATATGATTCAGGAGCTGCAAAATCATATCCATGATGAGGGCCTTAGAGCAACCAGTAACCTTACTCAGGAAAATGTGAGTTGTGTATAAGGAAATAGAAAGTGTTTTTTTTTTTTTCTTAATAATATTTATCAAGAGTTCTTCTTTTGACTGTTAGAGAGGAAAGAAAAAGTCTTGTCAACAAATAAAAAACATCTTTATTCAAATATTTTAAACCTAGAATTTGTTGGACCCATTTTGGAATTATCAAGTTATTATTAAACCATTAAATGAGACTCTTTCTTAGCCACACTGATATGTTCATTTAGCAGTTAACTTCTCAGAAAAAAATTTGTTTCCTATTTGTTCTTGTTTATTTGTAATTGGCAAATTACAAATAAATTACAAATATGTTAGTGACCTTCACATCCCTATTACCTTCTCAAGAGTACTCTACCAACCAAATAACAATATTTACAAATTGCATTTCTTTCATAGATGTTTCATCATGATGGACTACCTTTTTGTTATTACTAGTATTTGCTTGATAACAAGATAAATATAACATGAAATGTAACTTCTACCTTAGTTGAACTGATCTTTAATATAGTTATCTGTGTATGGACATCGTTGCTTAAGAATGCTTATTAGATGCTCATTATTGGTATTGTAGACTTGTCTTTAGCAAGTAATAATTCTTAGTTTTTATGTTTTCCCATGGGAAATCATAAGTTTTCCAATTTTGTGGAATAGTTGGTTGTCTTATTTGTTACTCTTCTTAGTTTACATTGTTAGGTTTATAGAGTCAGGGTATTGAATTAACATTGAGCATAGAACAATGGAGTCTTGTGTCAAGGCTGGAAGATGGAAATGTAACAAAATGCATTTGCAGTGAATTCAAATCCGCTACCTTAGATACTAACTTCTCCAGTTATATGTGTAAGAAATGGGAGAAAGAAAGGCAGAGAGAAAGAAGGAAACGTAGTTTTCCTTGGTAAATTTTACACTTTTGTTATTGTTGTTGTTGTTTTAGGGATTAGAACCTAGGGCCTTGTGCATGCAAGGCAAGCACTCTACCAACTAAACTATATCCCCAGCCCATAACTTTGCTCTTAATCTTTAACAAGACTAATTGTATTCTTGATTTAGTTTAAAAGGTGGTTTTATATTTTGTATTTTATATTTAAATTTAGATGCCAACACTGTTTGTGGAGTCAGTTTTGGAAGTACATGGTAAATTTGTTCAACTAATCAACACTGTTTTGAATGGTGATCAACATTTTATGAGTGCATTGGACAAGGTAACTTTAACATATATATTATATGTATATAGACTAGATGCATATAAAATTCTCTATCATTTGTTAAGTAGTGTCAGGATTAGGCTTCTAAGTAGGAGATTTTTGATCTAGACATGGAGATAAACTTTAAGTAACTAACTTAAATCTGAAAGTCAAAATAGGAATAACATAAGTTTTAACTTATTAAATGAATTGTTAAACTGAATGCCTGTGTAATTTCCTATTATTATGCTATGTAAGCAGAATTGTTTATAAACTAGTATCTTCTGAAAATGTATGTATGATTTTAATATTCTTTAGTACTGATTATTTCTTCACATATACCACATAGGCTATATAAAATATTTGAATGGAAAATATATTTCACAAACTTGATTATGTTATTCTATGTAGGAAATTTGTAAAGTTTTTTAAAAGTAGCATTATTTTATTTATGTTCAAATTTTAGTTTAAAAAATACCTTGTAATAGGAATGGAGCTCTATTGCTTTTGGACCTTTGGCAAGGCAGAACAATTTGGTGGAAGTGTGTGGTGGAGGAAACATGTTCACCTCAGGGCTAGGGAAGGAGGAGAGAGTTTCTCAATATCCCTTTCAAAGGCATGTCCCGGTGACCTGCCTGCCTTTATTAGGCCCCACCTCCTAAAAGTTCTGCCACCATCTATGCACCAGTGTCATAGACTGGCTACCAAGTCCTCAACACATGGCCTTTGGGAAACATTTAAGATTAAATCATAGTAGATGGGTTTTTTTTTTTTTTTCTTGGACAGCAGTTATAGCATATATTGAACCACCTGAACTTTTGCCCTAGTGCTGGTGGCTAATTTTTACACACCTGTTTTCTCTTTAGGCCCTTACATCAGTTGTAAATTACAGAGAACCCAAGTCTGTCTGCAAAGCACCTGAATTGGTAAGTTTGATGGTTGCTTAAATATAATGTTATGAAATAAGTTAGTATTTGAAAAGGAAAACTGAGCACAATCTCAAATTAATTTTTTTGGGGGGGGTAGCATTTTTCAGAAAAAAATAGATGAAAAATTATTTTCTACATACTGTTTTTTTAAAGAATAACTGGAGGAAAACATTTTATTATACAAAGTTTGGGTTTTAAAGCGTATCTGCTTTAGCTGGGTACTGTGGCTCACTCCTAACATCCCAGAGGCTAAGGAGGCTGAGGCAGGAGTCTCGAAAGTTCAAAGTCAGCTTCAGCAACTTAGCAAGGCCCTAAGCAACTCAGTTAGAACCTGTCTCTAAATAAAATACAAAAAAGGGCTGGAGATGTGGCTCAGTGGGTAAGTGCCCCTGAGTTCAATCCATGGTACTCACAAAACAAAACAAAACAAAGAGTGTATCTGCTTTGAAATAATATACATTATTTTTATGGAGATTTTGTTATATTTATAGTTAGTAGGAAATCTGGTAAGTTGTTAGTAACCTTTGAAGGAAACTTGCTTCCAAGGTTATTCTAAGATTTTAAAAAGTCATTGTTCTTTGTCAGAAATTACAGAACTACTCAAAACTCAACTACGTGTTCTTTTAGAAATTTATATTATTTTTATCCCTGTTTTGTCAGTTTTTATTTGATTTTTGAGTTTATTTTGTTTTTTCCTTCTAGTGTTTTGTGTTTTTAAAATTTACCTTGCCACATATATTTTAAATTAAGTAGTTCATGTTCATGATTTTTAAAACATTAGTCTAGAATGTCAAAGCTTCCATCTGTTGATTTTATTTTGTATTGTTGCCACTTTACCTTCTTTGAGGCATGATAAGTCTAGAAGGGCCCTTTATAAGACTTATTATCAATTTCTATTTGAGCTTGCGAAGTACTGTGACAACTTACTAAAGAAGTCAGCAAAAGGGATGACTGAGAATGAAGTAGAAGACAAACTTACGAGTTTCATTACTGTTTTCAAATATATTGATGATAAGGATGTTTTTCAAAAGGTAAGTTATAAATAGAAAAGTTTTGATTTGCATCAACTGCTTTGTGTATTTTTGAACTTAAAGTCATTAGAAAGGAAGTAAGTTTAAAATTTTTTCTTTAATGTAGTTCTACGCAAGAATGCTGGCAAAACGTTTAATTCATGGGTTATCTATGTCTATGGATTCTGAAGAAGCCATGATCAATAAGTTAAAGGTATTGTAAACTTTGGACATACCAATGCCCTAGAATTTATTCCACCAGTACATAAAGACGTTTATTGCAGCATTGTATATAGTAACAGGAAATAATTCATCAACAAGGACTGGATGGTTAAATGTATGCTGGTGTATTCATATAATGGGGAGATACAAATACTGCATTAAAAGGACAAAATGTCTCCATATATATTGATACGGAAAGATCTCCAAGATAGTTTCTTTACAAGAATTTATAATACTTATAAATGTATTTTCTAAAATATTCCTTATAAGTATTAAAGTGCAGTTGAACTTCAGTTAATTTTATATCATTTTAACTTATACACTGATAAAAATAAATTTTTCATCACTTCATAGCTGATATTAAAAATATGTCTTAAATACTCTCCTTTTTTAATTGACTGTGACTAGAGGATTGCCAATAATCTTTCAAGTATATTTATGCTATGTATAAGCCCAAAAGATATCTTACTAATAGTAATAAAGCATTTTGCAGTGTTGAAATAGCTATGTGGATTGTTATAATAGTTTCTATGTTTAAAGTTAATATTTTAAAATTATTTCATAATTATGTATTTTCTTTCACTTCTACATTGAAAAGGAAAGAAATTTTTAAGAAGTTTTAAATAGCTTCTTGGGGTTTTAAATAATGTAGGCCTTGGGTGTAAGCATTACATGCAAGGATTTTTAAAGAACTAACATTAGCAATACATTCTTATTAATCATTGTGATTTATTATTTTTCTTTTTGAATCTTTTTTTCACAGCAAGCCTGTGGTTATGAGTTTACCAGCAAGCTACATCGGATGTATACAGATATGAGTGTCAGTGCTGATCTCAACAATAAGTTCAACAATTTTATCAAAAACCAAGACACAGTAATAGATTTGGGAATTAGTTTTCAAATATATGTTCTACAGGTATGAAAATGTGTTTTCTTATTAGCATTTATGAATCATCTCAGTATGCTGATATAAAGAATTAATAACTGAGTGCCTAATGGCTTCCATAGTTACAATGATTCAGAATGAAATGTGCCATGATAATACTTTTGATTTTTATTAAAATTTTGAGGAAGGAAAAAGAACTTAATGCTTAAACATTTTATAAATATTTTATTTCAAGTTTTGGGTTTTTTTCCCTTCTAGGCTGGTGCATGGCCTCTTACTCAGGCTCCTTCGTCTACATTTGCAATACCCCAGGAATTAGAAAAAAGTGTACAGATGGTAAGTTTGCAGGAAGACATTAACAGATCAAAGGAATTTTAGTTGTGCATGCTAAGCACATACTATACACTGATCCATACCCTCAGGCCCAGTAATTGTTTTTGTATTATATCATTTTCAGTGTTTTCCCTAAGTCTTAATGGCTTATGTGCTAGAAAAATATGTTTACAAATTAGAGTCTGTATCCTTCAGAAAGAATGAATTATTATGTTTACTAGTCTCAAAACTAAAATGTTGAGAGTATAAAAGCAGTTCCTTGTCATGATTTTTCTCTTATTCTTAGTAAATCTAGTATCTGTTCTTTTTTTTTTTTTATCACTGAGTTATATGCTCAGCCCTTTTTTTGGGCTGGGATGTTGGGGATTGAACTCAGGCGCACTCGACCACTGAGCCACATCTCCAGCCCTATTTTGTATTTTATTTAGAGACAGAGTATCACTGAATTGCTTAGTACCTTGCTTTTGCTGAGGCTGGCTTTGAACTCAGGATACTCCTGCCTCAGCCTCCCGAGCCATGTGGATTACAGGCGTAAGCCACTGTGCCTGGCTTAATATCTATTCTTAAGCAGTTTTAAACTTAGAACTTTTTTATATTGGAAGAAAGTTTAGAACCCAGCAATTAAAAAAAAAAAAATCTTAATTCCATTTGAATTTTGAACCATTTATATACATTATTTACCCCTTATAATATTTTTATTTTTGCCTTGAAATTTAGATAAATGTATGTGGAATGAGAAATAATCCTAGAAAAGAAATTTAAGTAAAAATTGCTTTAAACTTTGACTAAGTAGAAACCCTAGAATGCTGACCAAAAAGTTTCTAAAGAAACCATGGAGAACATCTTTTTTTTTTTTT